AGATTATTACACTCCGACCGGTAAAACAAGGACACCTAACAATTTGTCTAATTTTTCAAAGGCCCTTCAAGATATTTAGCTGGTTTTTTTCACCATGAAGTACTACAGTGTGTAGTAGTCTTGACCGAAATTTTCGTTAAAATTAGTGCAGGGGCGGAGAAATCTATATTATAATTTCGAAAAGTCCGTCCCGTGAAATTTTCCGTGACATTCCAGCATTCTGATTGGCTGCCGGCTTTCTGGCTCCACCAATCACAGCACGGATATAATTACGGTTATGTATACGGTTACGGTTATGATTTCGGTTATGATTATGGTTATGATTTCGGTTATGATTTCGGTTATGATTAAGGTTATGATTTCGGTTATGATATCGGTTATGATTTCGGTTATAATTTCGGTTATGATTTCGGTTATGATTACGGTTATGATTTCGGTTATGATTTCGGTTATGATTTCGGTTATGATTAAGGTTATGATTTCGGTTATGATATCGGTTATGATTTCGGTTATAATTTCGGTTATGATTTCGGTTGTGATTTCGGTTATGATTTCGGTTATGATATCGGTTATGATTTCGGTTATGATTTCGGTTATGATTACGGTTATTAGCAACCAGAAAAAATCTTAGCAACGTTAAAAAAATTCTTTGGCAACGTCAAAAAAATTCTTTGGCAACGTCAAAAAAGTTCCTTAGCAACGTTAAAAAAATTCCTTAGCAACTTTAAAACATTCCTTAGCAACTTTAAAAATTTCCTTAGCAACTTTAAAAATTTCCTTGGCCACGTTAAATTATTTTCTTAGCCACGCTAAATTATTTCCTTAGTAACGTTGAAAACATTGCTTAGCAACGTTGAAAAAATTCCTAAGGAAGCTGGGGACCCATCTGAATGAAGGAAATTCCTTCACTCAGATGGGTCGCCACGACATTCCTTCAAGGAATGTCGTGGAAAGTTTAACGGAACAGTCTTTTCGATGTTTTAATAAGTATATTTAGATGTTGTTTTACTTTCAAACTATAATTTGATGATAATTAGTTCATCGCCGCAGTTATGTGGTGCTTACATCTAATGATGTAAAACTTGATGTGGACCGTCTTTAAGACGGGCTTACAGGCTAGTTATCAAATAATATGTTAAAATCAGGTGGCCAGTAAAACAAGGACACCTTTGGAATTATTGCTTTTTGAACCATTTATTTTGAAGTTTGTCAATTGCCTTTCACATAAATGCTCAGAATAGCTATCCCCTTCATTGATGGCAGCCAAAATTTAATTTTTCATCGACCCAGCGTGCTTATTAGTGACACTGATTGGCATTGAATAACATGTATCAATGATTCCTTGTTTTAGTTCTAAAACTGTTGAACATCGTCGCCTATCGGCATAAACTTCACGCGATAGGTATGCCTGAATATTTTTAATCTGATTTAGACCCGAACCCTTCAATGGCCCAGGCAGAAAGTCGATACCGTTGTCTTAGAACCATTTCTTTGATTACCGAAATGCATAATATGGTGTATTTTCTGGTTGAAATAGCCATTTTTTCTTGCGAAGTTGTGTTTCGGATGAAATCAATTACTCTTGAGATGTTTTTATGACCGTTTAAGTTAAAATTACTGATTATGGTTAACGACTTTGTCCTCTGTCTCAGTCTGATCTATTTTTACATATATTTTGAAATAGATCCCTTCTTCTACGTCATGCCTGTGAGTGACCATCCTGTCTCAATAATTGTACGAGTCATTTTTTCAGCTTCCTGTGGTTTCGAAATGTTTAACTTATTAGCAGTGGGATTCCTAGTATGCGCCACATATACCCGCGCAATTGGCCGAATGGTGGACAAAATTGGTAACATTGACAAGTGGGACAAACTCGTTTCAAATTATCGAACCCTTTACCTCACTATTCAAATTATTACACCATTTACATCCATGCTTGTCATTGGAGCCATGCTGCTTAGCTTGGTTGTTGTTTATTTATTTATGTACATCTGTTTCTGTCTTAACAAAAAATTTCCTGCTTCAAGAAACATGTTAGATTGTGTATATGTAAATACATATATCGTTTGGCTAAACGAAATGATTTGCAAGTGCACTTTTATGTACTAAATCCGTACAAATCTACATATGTACATACTTACACACATACGAGGTATGCCAATCAAGTCTAAACCTTCATTTGTTAAAATCCGAATCATACGCACATAAATCTTTAGAAATAAATATATTGAATTTTTATGTATGTCAGCATCCAACTTTGCAGATACACACGCAGAGATGTATGTATGTATGCATACATTGTTACAGTTAGAAAAAGGCTAAACGACCAGCGCCTCACAAAATTGTCCATATCTGAAACTTAAAAATATCCTAACACATACATATTTTTATTCGTCAAGAGTATGAATTGTATTCGCAGAGTAGATATGCATTTTATTTTAAGTATGCACACATATATGAGCAAACTTGTATAAATGCTATTATATAAATATATACATATGTATGTACCGTAAAAACTCAAATAGTAGCCGTGCCCAAATAGTAGCCTTGCCTTTTTTCATAATTTTATAAATAGTGACCTTGCTCAAATAGTAGCCCTGCCCAAATAGTAGCCGTGTTCAAATAGTAGCCTTATTCGAATCAGAGACGTGCCGACTTCCAAAATGTATTCATACATACATGCAACCAGACATCTCCTAGCCAGCTTATTTATGTAATTAAATCACAATTCAATTTAATCTCAGTTATACAAAATCGAATTGAACACGAAATTCGGCTCATCGAAGAAATTATTAAAATTAAGAGCAGGCCTAACATATAGAATTGTCATCTATTTAATACGATTCTAAAGGAGAATTTGGTGCTATTATTAAAATTTAAGTTGAGTTTGATTCTGGAAACAAATTACAATAGCTGTTTGCTAATAGTAGCCGTGCATCTTTTCATAATTTTATAAATAGTGACCTTGCCCAAATAGTAGCCTTGCTCAAATGGTAGCCGGGTCCCAGACACCAATTTTGTAAATAGTAGCCCCCAGCTACTATTTGAGTTTTTACGGTATGTATTTATAATAGTAAAAATATTCAGTTATAGAATTGCAGGTTATTAACATACACAAATAAAACTTACTATGAAGTCTACCTACAGTCAATGGAACAAGTATTGGCAACACCCACACAAGCTAAATAAAATTGGCTATAACTTTGGCATGCATTATCAAATTAGCATGAAAATTTGTACGCAATTAGCAAATCTAATGTAGTTTTCGATTATAATCATGTTTTATTGATTAAAATTGGATAAACACAGTTTTTAAATAATTTGTTGGAAAATATGTAAAATTAACCCGCAAAAAGTATTGGCACCCTATAACTTATAAAATCATAAATCAAAGAATCGCCAATTTTATTACGTCACACTGCTTCTAATGTTACGCGGCACCTCCCCTCGACGCAATAAGACCATAAATAGGCCGTTGAATTGATTCGACAAGGTTCTTTATAACGTTTTTTTATATGGTTGGCCACACTTGTTTCGAACTTTTGACAAGCTCGTTTTTCATCGAGTGGTTTCCCACCGGTCTCTCTTTTCGCAGCCCAAATAATCAGAATGACATCAGGAGACTGTGCAGCCAACGAAAGAAGCTTAACCTTTTCGGTCTCCAAAAACTTGCATCCTTAATTCGGGTAGCTGTTTTGGGTCACTGCATTTTTGGAATATAAAATTCCTCCCCAGATCAGGTTTTTATCAAATAATTTCAAATTATCGTTTGGAATGATTAATTAGACCTCCCTGGTCATGATTTTATCGATAATGACCAGGTAAACACGCCGCCACCTAGTCATTTAACCCCAAACCATAATCGATCCTCCTATGTGTTAAACTGCCATACGAACGTTTTCGTATTTCTGAGCCTTTTATGGCATCCGCCAGACTTGAACCAATTAATGAGCTCCGAATAAGTAAAATATGCCTATGTCGTACCAGTAGATTTTATTTCATTCATTGGAAGTCAATTGAGGCTTATATTTAGCCCATCCCAATTTATTGAGGTGGTTCGCTTTGGGGACTCTCTCGTCGGTCGGGCTACTGGAGCCTGAAACCCCAAGGCATAATTTTTTAGTGAACACCAAATTGAATGATATGTTTGCCCACAGTTAGTACTGCAATTCAACATGGATTTGGGGGCTAAAATCTTCCGATCTCGAGTGATTTGTTGCTTGATTCATCAGTAGATTTTGGGCGTAGGTGACCTTTTTCCTCCGCATCGTCGAAAAGTAGAAACTGAGATCGTCATTTTATATTTCTTTGCTACGTTTTCAATAGTGAATATGGAAAAGTATGTTTTCTCTTTGATTTTTCGATAACAAAGCATTTTTATGGAAGATGCATGAATATTTCTCGCCGCGCCAAATACAGCTGGTTTAGTGCCGCCATTTTGGCTCCAGACAACACAACTGTAGACTTAAAATGTCGCTAACGTTATATTTTGTCACTTAATTACCTTACCGTAACGAAATGTGGAAGATGGTTAAGAAAATTGTGTCGAGTAACTAATTTAGCCACATGTTGCCAATACTTTTTGCAGGTTCGTACCTGACCAGTTAGGGTCAAAATTTGGATTGCGTTATGTTTACTAGGTTTTAATCGGAAACACGATTATAATCGAACACTACATTAGATTTATCAAATGTGTTCAAAGTTTCACGCTAATTTGATAACGCATGCCAAAGTTATAACCAATTTTATTTAGCTTGCGTGGGTGTTGCCAATACTTTTTCCATTGACTGTACATAACAATGCAGCGTGCATACGTATGCATATTATACAACTCAAGAACTCAACATGACTTTCTACATCTTTTCCTCAACTGCTTCCCTTTTTTGCTTAATCATCTTGCTTCATCATTTGCATAATTTAGTGGTAAGCATGACCTAGCGCAAATCTGGGAACAACGAGTATTATAGTGTATACTTACATAACATATTATACATTGAAATTTCTTGCAGAATAGCAAGATGCCAAGTAAACTTTTTTGCGCAAGTTTTTTTATCCATTTTTCTCAGATGTATGAAAATATGTCTGTCCATCAAGAAAATATGTATATGTATGCAGTGACACCATATGTATCGTGCTAAACCTTCCCACATTTCGCCATCCTGGCAGTTTTTTTTTGTCAGAAAAATTTAACAAATATATGTAAAACCTAAAATTTAAACAGACAACGTTAACATGACTATTTATGTATTTTGTTTTATCCGTCCTCGCCTCCGCTGGATGCCAGTAATCATTGGGGCCCTTGGAATTGTACGTACTTACAAAAAACAACGAAACATATTTATGTATATTGGGATTTAGTTAATTAATTTTATGAAACGTAGATGGCATCTGCCGCCGAGATCCTTTATGCCGGAGCATTACTCGACGTTGCTAAAAGAATAAACGACAATTCTGGGCCCAAGTCTATAAGTAAAAGTCGTTTTTTCAATGATTTTGACAATTTTTAGAAACAAAATTTCGTACTTGGTCAACCCCATGTTTAATATTTAGTTATTGCATTGGGAACCACGATCTTCTTATCGGGCCTGATTGGACTTGTAATGCTGGTATCGTCATTTCTGCTGATAATTGCTGGAATCCAAGTAACAAAATATTTGGACAATGAAAATATGTATTTTCGATTTAAGTTGGAATGCATGCACTCTTAACAATAAAGCTACCCTTTTGCAAAGTAAATGCACCCTAAATTTTGCATTAAGTAAATTATTCTAAATCCTGAGTAAACTTTGCTCTTTGTCAAGTTCACGTTACTCTGGATTTATTTAGTATATTTTACTTAATGCAGATTTGCAAGTGCATTTACTTTATAAAAGTGTAACATTATTTTTTTTAGAGAGTATGAGCATACATTACATACATACATGTGCAGGCATGTGATCAATTTTCGGGAATTTTTACCTCGTTCCCCCCGTGTTACCCATACGCCCCATATTATAATTAACATGGGAAGGATAGGATACCTTGACCCCTACCCTCCTCAAATAGATCACATTCCTCCTGCACAGTCCCATATGTAAATGTTTTGCACTTCCAGAGACACATGGACAAATGCAAGTTGTGGATCCTTCTAACTTACGCAAGTTTCGGATTAAGGGTTATTTTCATCATCGCAATTGTCATCACGGAATCTGCATCTTCAGTCGGCACACTGGAGGAGGAGGGTAACGATATAACTGTGAGCTACCTCTTCATAATGGGGTTCCAGATTTTGTTCGTGTTTATAATCAAAAGGTATATTGCCCTTATTGAAGCGGAAGATAAGACGCTGTTGGTGTCTAGTACGGTTGAAAATCAAGTGTGAATCTATAAAATAAAAAATTACCGTGTTTTTCATAACAATTTTGAGTTACTTATTGCTTTGTATCAAGTGGAGGCATACACAAATGTATACTCCTATTTACCTACATAAGTATGTATAAATGTTGACAAATAAATATTTTATACCTAGGTATTTTATACCCAGGTATTTGTACATGCGCAGATGAATTTTATAACTTTATAAACATGCATACATATATGAATATATGTACATACCTATGTACATCCGTAAGGTTAAACCATGGTTACTATGAGCAATTTTCCCTTGCTTCTGTATCAACTTTTTTTGCATAGTATAAGATCCTTATTTTTATTGATTTTATTATAGTATAAAATTGTATTCGCGCCGAATGGCTTCTTCATATGTTTGCAGAATGTTACGATTCTACATGCATTCATTTAAAAAAAGCTAAACGACCAGCGCCGTAGATAAGTGTCCCTATCTGAATTTTTAAAACTATTTTTGTACACATGGACATAAGTACAAATGTAGGTAATGGCATGGCAAAGATGATGTAGCGCAAATTTGTCAATCATTTATAGAATTAATACGTATGTACGTAGACACTTGTACACCGAGTGTGTTTAAGATGCGGTAATCAATTAATTCCAAATACTCTGTGAAGCGGACTACCTGGAAATACTATTTAGACATTCAGAAGAGAAATATCTGCAGGTTGCCACGTACATATATACAACAAATGTACATACGAGTGTAGCGACATAAGCGGTCCATTACAATTTTATGCATTAAAGCAAGATTGAAGATACCAAGTAAATTTGTTTGCACAAGTTTTTTGATATCCATTTCAGTCATAAATAATATGTACACATACTTATTTTTTTTAAATAAACGCAATGACATGACACCACTACTTGCTTAACTTTTCTACAGTACGCCACCTTACTGTCTTTTCTATCAAATAAATTTAACAATGTAAAAATACACAATTCAAAAAATTACCGATTTTAGCATGACGTTGTGTTATTGCTACCGTCCTTCCCTCCATTGGATGCCAGTCATCATTGAGGCGTTTGGAATCGTATATACTTAATTTTATGCAAGTATGTATATTAAATTAATTGATTAAATTAAAAGATTTCTAAAATTCTCCCTGAAGACGATACACGTGTATGGTATCGAAAGCTTAGAATAAATATATGTATCTGCATTAAAACAATCGTGTCCCTAATTCTAAATTAGTTGAATTTATGTGCCTACCTAGATAACCTCAGTGGCGGAGATGTGTCATGAAGAATTAGTCGAAATTACTAAAAGACTAACAGGAAATTCTGAAGGCTATTCAGTCTCTTTTTAGAGTGTAGAGAAGCAAATTACACGTTTGTACACCTTTTATCACGTCATAGCATGATCTGCATCACGTCAACACAGGTTATGTACATATTTATGTAAATATTTTTAGAATCTTGTTATGCATGCATTACAATTGAGATTTCTCAGGTATTCTAACTAGTAGTGTGTACATAAATACATACGTAAGAAGTTCCAAGTATTTATCTAGTAGTGAGTGCTTCTTATACATACATACGTACATGCATACATTTTTAAAAACTCAAATAAAATTAGCAGCATTAAGTATTCACATCTCATCCGATTTGCTTGTTCCTTCCGACAGAAATATTCAATACTTTGCTCAAAACTATTTAAAATATTATTTTCAGTAGTGCAAAGTGCAAGTATTGAGAGATTTTTAAAATTTTATCGAAATACGCTCCTGATTGTGATCATGATTGGGTGTTGCTTCTGTGTTCCTCTTCGTCTCCTGCCGTATGCTATTGGGGGGCTTGGAATTGTGTGTACTAAATAAATTAGTGATATTTCATAGAAAATATAGCATAGAAAATTTGGGGTAAAATTACATGACTTTATTTCATTGTAATCTAGATAACATTTCTGTACGAGGTTTATCATATGTTTCCACTTGTTAACCAAATCAAAAAGCTAAACGAACTGCCGGCCGATTCTGGACTCGAGTTTACAAGTAAGGTCAAATTTTAATAACCCAAATTATGAACTTTGTACGTATGTACATAAATACCAAAGCGTAATACATGCACATTAGCAAAAAATTGCACGACTGATATAATGTGTTATGCAATTTCACAAATTTGCAAATTCCGGGATGCCTAATTTAATGATTATTAAATTGGGAAACAAATTTTCACTTTAATCAATCACGCATTTCAGTTCATGGCTTGCAAATCTCAGCCTCTTTAGTGGCCCTGATTGCAATTGTGACGCTGGTCTCGTCAATTGTGCTGATAATTGCTGGATATCAGGTAACAAAATTTTTCATTATGTAAATGATCCATATTTTGGTAACCAATTATTTTGCACTTTACAGAAAAGCGTTACCAAATGTAAAGCGTGGATCGTGCTAACTTCCGTGTGCTGCGCGTTAAGAGTTATTTTCATTATGGCGATTGGAATTACGACATCGTCTGGATCCTCTGGTTTCACAACGAGTTCAATTTACGGAGTAATTTTTAGCTACCTGATCAAACTGGCGATTCAGATTTGGTTCATTGTCTCGATTCGAGGGTATATTGACAGCGTTCAGGAAGAAAAACGGTATCAGGCTGAAGTGTCTCGTGTGCAAAATAAAGTTTAAATTTTGCAAATAAAATTGATGGTGTTTTTTTAGAAATTTTGTTCCATTTTTGATTAAGAATTGCGTGACAAAATTTTGCTTGTGTGTATGTATTCAGATGATTCGGCAGTTTACGAATATTTTCATTTCAGAAAATATTCTCATCTTTCTCATTTATGTACATACATAGGATTTAGGAGTAAAATAATGCAAATTAAGGTGCACATTTTCGACACGTAATTTACTTCCTGGCCTGAAATTTGGCTGTCACAACAATTATTTTAATATTTACGGAATCGTACAATTGGCCGATATGCTATAAAATATTCAGGCTACATAAATATCTTATCAAAACTTTCCTTTGCTGAGAGTCTTTAGATAATTTACGTCCACCTTTCTCAACGAATTGCTGGTATTTATGGCTAACAAAACCAGTAATGATAAATTCTTATTATTTGTTATTAAAATTTTCATAAGTATTAAATAAGCAAATATGTAAATAATCGATGAGTAAATTGGGGCCAAGAGTAATTAAATATGGACACTTCCTTCCACAATTAATGAGGGGATTCATTATTCCTTCGAATTTTTGGTATACTCGTGTAGTAAAATAAGCTACAACGGTTATGAGATTTTGTAAGCGTTCATCAATAATCACGTTACTATGAGTGTACTCACGTCAACCTTCGCATATCTCGCATATCTCGCAAATTGAGCATAGCAACATAACTTGCGAAGTTTTGCGAGATATGCGAGATTTCGCAAAACTTTTGCTGGAAAACCATGGGATTTTTTTCGCAAAATTACTTCGCAAACTCATCCTCACCATCGCCAGCAAGAGAAGAAATTGCAGAAATCCATGGAAACAATGCCAAAATTGGTATTTTTCAGTAGATTTGCGAGATTAGAGAAATTTGCGAAGTCATATTTTGTGAATCCACTCACAGAAATATTTTGATCTTCGCAAGGTTGCTAAATAAATGAGTTGCGATGCGAAATAAGAAGTTGTCGTGAGTATCTACGCCCTATGTAAGGTTACGATTTTACGAAGTTTGACCCCTTCCTTTTCTTGCTAAACTATTTTATGATATTAGGGATACGAAGAAATAATGAATACCCTCAATATTTTGTGAACCTATAATGAGATGGATGTCAACTTCAGCCGAGGTGTCATCATTGTGAAAAGTAGGAGTTCTGCATAGGAAACACAGATACATAAGCGTTTCGCTTTTCTGAGACGACACACATTTAATTATTTAAATGTGTAATTAAATTAAGTAAAGTATACTTCAATAGATTAAGAACTTTCGTGGACAGAATTCACCCAGGACTAGTTGGTAATTTTTAAACCTTCGTAGTGAGCGATCATACCTCCAGCGCCAATTATCTATCTATTTCCTCTTCAATTACACTTATTTAGCTTCACATATACATATTATATTTACTAAAGTTATGGAACTTCCATAATGGAAGAATTATAGTCATCCTTGAAATTAAATCTACCCAAAGTCTCTCCCATATCAAAAATAGCTACCAGCATAAAAAATTCATGAATTTGTTGCAGTGCTGTGCTACACATACATACATATACCTATGTAAAGATGAATTGTAAAAATTGAACTCGTTCAATTACATATATATAAGAAAATCTTAGCTGTGTCTATACTGACCTGTTTGTTGCTCTTAAACATACATACATATGTATATGTAAAAGCAGTTACATAATTTAAAATTTCAGGAACTGCATAAAATAGAAGCCACAATTTTATACAAGCAGTTGCGATATCTGATAATGCATACATCTAAATGCAGGTCAAACTCTTCCAAGTTTGCCAACGACATTCTCTCTAAATGTTACTGTTTTTCATGAAAGTACTTATGAAGCCATTACTTATTTATGTATTAGATTATTAATCGCATAATGGTACAAATCAACTTGTGATAACCGTTTATGGCGCAGTTACCCACCAATTCAGTCAACAAGCAATTTATTTAATTAAATGAATCTTATCACGTTTCCAGATACATAATTAAGCACCTCAATTAAACAAATGCCTCCAATCGGTCTCAATCAATATCTCAACAAACCGTTACACCTATATTTATCTATGAATATGCATTCCACAAAGGAGAGGCCCACACAGGTCGAGTTCGTCGTTTTCATATAAAAGCTTCTAAATTACAGTTCAACCGCTGAATTTTACATTAAATTACAATTTGTAATGTGGTTAACGTCATTTCGCCCATTTTTACTCCAACATTTGCGATTGTGTGGTTTTCTTCGATGCACGGATGCCCAGTGGGACGCCACGTGTGGACAAATAGTTCCCCGCAAAACGACAAGATTTGGAACTTTATACCACAAATTCCAACTAGTTTCTGGTTTTATTTATGCAGTAGGAATCATACTGAAGATCTCCCGTGGGAAGGATTCCGTTGCGGAGAAATGCCAAGGTGTCGTGTTCCTAACGATTCTGGTCGTAACGATTTTGGCCAGATGGTACTGGCCACGGGAAGGTCAACTCAACGAACCTTGTCGAATGTTGAACGCGTGCTTTAGATTTGAAAAATTTTTAATCACCGGATATGGTAAGGAGACAAAATTTTATCTACGTGTGTATGTTGGATTATCTATTTATTTCGGTTTTTATGTACAAGTCGTATATAACGAAGGACTCGCTGACTCGCCACCAAAATCATCCAAGTCGGCATATTTTAATGATTAAATATTGGGATCTGGGAATTTATCTTAAAAATTTTGGGGAAGTTTGTACTGTAATGTAATCCAATAAGTGGATTAATGCGATTGCAGAGTTCTTAACCCAGTTACGACGAGTTACAATTTTTCTGAAGGCTTCTAAACTTGAAATCTCTTCGAAACTTAAAAACTGGAGTGCATATTGTCTGATAATTAATTGACAACGACCTCGACAAATAAGTCTTTCAGAGCTTTAAAATAAATTCCCAGAGGCGAGAAATGATTTAAAATAAGTTGATTTTGAAAACACGTCATATGCGACAGGAATTCGTGACTAAAAAATCGGTCTCATCTCTCTCAATGCAGTAATTGTATATATTTTTGTCGCAAACTTTGCAATTTTATACGAATTTTAGGTACGCCAGTTCGCCAACCATCCATTCTGGACAAGGTAATGATAGCGTTTTTGCGTCTCTTGGCACCCACCGCATTCCTCGTACCGTTCGCCGTGATCGCGATCCAGCTGCATAATCCTTGCGCGCTCCCCTTCATCGGGTCATGGTCGCCATATTGCGTCAATTCCGTCTGGTCACCTCCTCCGCGACTGGTTCATTGTTTAATGTTGGCAACGGACTGGTGGATTTGGGCACATTTTGAATATGATGGTGCCTTGTATGTCTTTTATGCGTTTATGGTCTCTATCGTGTGCATGTTGGATTATTTGGAGCATTTCGAAAAGTAAGTACTCAGAAACTAGTTTATTTATAGTCATAATTTAAAAAATTTTTGTTAAAATTGTAACGCTCCCTATTCTATTGTGGGATTGCGTGTCCTGATTCACATCCACTTTCGCGGATGCCCCTTTTCTTTGTGACGTTGTGCAATAAATTTGTAGTAGAAAATAACTTTTTTATAACAATTATTAATAAATTTATTTACATCAATACCGACTGAAAAATATTGACTTTACAGAAATGCTCGTATTATAAATACGTGGGAGAGCTAATGCTATAATTTATATTTTAACTAATTATCTATATAATTATCTAACTTATTATTAAGTTTTCGAAAGTCTAAAACCTTGAACTTGATCTTGATGATCACTAAAACTAACCTGCTGATCCTGAATCTAAAACTACACTCTTCTCTTCTCTCTGCTTACTCTATATATACGTGATCACATAAGCCACGCCTACTTGATCACTACCTTTACTTACGCTACATATGCACAAACTACGCCCTGATGATCATGATGATCATGATGACGTACATCATCATTCTGTGCTCCTCACTCCTATCCTCTCTTCCCCTTCGTGATCTCCTCCTGCACACAATGTGGTTTGGACACACATGAGAGGCGAGATACATATGAAAACTAAATCTATGTATTTTGAATCCCTTGACCTTTGAAATGCTGATGTCACATTTGCATCAGCGTTCCAAAGGTTGCAAAATAAAAAAAATTACATTTTTTTGCTAATTGACAAATTTATAATATTTAGATTTGTTCGAGAAATTCGAACTTCATCGAGTCCCGTTCCTGATCTCAGGACTTTAGAAATTCGTGTCACCAAATCCCTCCACACTTACCGATGCGTCCGATTGATCAACAAAACCCTAAACCACGCTACGCAAGGACAACTTGTTCCCGCCATGATTGGTGTCGCTCCACAACTTCAAGTTTTCGCACAATTCGTTTGCATCAAGCTGTATTCAAAAATCCCGCTGCCTGGTTTCCTATTTTTCCCACTGCTCGTAGTAGACTCGACGATATGCAACTTGATCGTTGAAAGCATGGCGGCGAAAGTGAATACAAATTCGGTGAAGTTGCTGTCCGACCTGAATCGTGAGTTGAAGGGTCTCCCAGTAAAATCCTCGTGTAGGAAAGAATTGAGGGCTTGTACTGCAGCAAAAATTCAATTCGGACAAAATTTTGTGGATAAAGGGACCCCCCTCGTAATTGAAAATTTCTGCTTCAATCAAACCGTTTCTTTGTTGTTGTTGAATAGTAGAAATCAGAGAAACAAGTAAAGGGGTGCATATGTACATATATATGGATGTATGGATGGATGTATGGATGTATGTATATACATACATATACTATTATGTATTTCATAAATCTTTTAAATATGCAAATATTTATTTAAATGGAAACAATGTCATTAATCAAGAATTCGGGTAATGTATGTATGCACGTGCACAAAAAAATTGTAAGCTAATTTTATATAGAAATACATATTTGTAAATTTTTGCAAAGTTCTAAGTGTATAGAATTTACGGATTCTACATTGTTACCAAGGACTGGATGAATTACCTGAATGTATATATGTATGTATGTTTATAATCTAGGAAACCTTGA